TAATATCAGTAGGAAGTTGACAGAAGCTCATAACCCAAATATTCACAAGCTTCAAGCCATACTTTGAAATCAACTGATGTTGTCATTATAAATTACTATGTCTGGCCACAATAATTAACTATGTCCATCAGGTGAGGAAGGAAGTAGTTCCAAGAGCAGTATCAACATGTAATACCGATCTTTTAAAGTTTCTTTGTTTGTTTTGAATTTCGCGCAAAGCTACACGAAGGCTATCTGTGCTAGCCGTCCCTAACTTTAGCAGTGTAAGACTAGAGGGAAGGCAGCTAGTCATCACCAACCACCGCCAACTCTTAGGCTACTCTTTTACCAACAAATAGTGGAATTGACCGCCACATTATAACGCTCCCACGGCTAAAAGGGCGAGCATGTTTGGTGGGACGGGGATTCGAACTCGCGACCCGCAGAGTGCGAGTCGAACTCCCAAACCGTCTAATCATGCCGGGCCTCTTTTAAAGTGTAATAAACCCTCAGTATACTTAATTTTGATAATAACAGTAGAGTTAGCATGTTCTAACAAAAGCATTGTTCGCAACTAATGCCCTGTCATATAAAGATGATTATCATATGTGAATGCAGTTTTACAAACATACAGATAACATGATGCGATTTTTTTTTTTAAACACACCATGCAATTATCAAAGTAATGATCAAAGTTCTGCTGTCTCAGAATAATTTGAGCGTACTCTGAATAGTAAATACACAATTATCGCTCAAGAAATTTTTATCCTCACACCACTGATAAGTGAATGACCAAAATAGTCTATCAAGTTTGTTGTTGTTGTTTTTTCTTTCAAAAATTCGCGCAGCCTTACACAAGGGCTATCTGTGCCAGGTGTCCATAATTTTGTACTGATAGTATAATTTGACCGCGGAGCGCGTTTCTGCAGTAACACAACGCGAACCACTACCCTTAGATTTATAGTACGACACCCTACCCAGTAAGCCACGCCCGATCCATTGTGTTTTAGAAAGCGAACGAAATTAATATAAATTTCCAGTGAATACCATACAGTTTAAATACCCTTATAAGCTAGCTCGTAATAATATGAATATTTTCGTGTGAACCGCACGATATACTGATAAACATGCTGCTTTTATTCAAGCCATTTTACGAAACGTTGATGTACCTAAAAAAAAAAAAGCAAAAAGTGTTTAGAATGTAAAATATACATAAGGAAATTTCAGCTCATTGATTTCCAGGACTTGTAGGGAGAATCAGAGTTACATTCGGGTGGATTAAAGTTTTTCAGTCGGCATATAAGTTGGATCTTTGTACTTAGATCTATAGAAATATCTTGAAACACTATCTGTCATTAAAACACACCTGAAGTAAATGTAGGTCAAACTTCACACATATTTTGAGAAAGTAGGACTTTGTTTTAATATTCGATTTAAAAGTGTTCCACAACAATTTCATTCTTTTTACGATGAAAGGACCAAAGAAAAACGTCGTTAAACAAAACAAATGTTTATCCTAGCAATCCATTATAACATTGCTTTAGAATTGAAATGGTTAAAATAACTGTAATTCTAAGAATTTATGAGCGATAGTAAAGAAGAATATGTAATAACATGTTAACCACACTACATTTTTCATATCCAGTGCCGGCGAGGCCTTTCCGACAATACCAGGATTCACCAGACCGGCTGGCTGAAGTACAACAGTAATAAAAGTAGTCGAGGCATTATTTATATCGCCAATTTCACGCACAACAACTGTTCTGATGTGAGCTACGTTAAGTAAAGGAATTGTGATCATTATCAATCTTATTTACGTCATTTACAAATCAGAATTCTGGTAAGAATTAATAACACAATATAATTTATTTATTTTTAATGCCGATTATTTAGTATCATTTTATTTGATTGAACTTTACAACTTGTCCTCTTTTCCCGGAAGTGACCACAGAGTATACGTGGTTATCATTTTGGACAAACTTGTATTACTTTATAAAACAATCGTTTAGCCAAAGATTGACACTACTTCCTCTCTGGTGGACCTATTGAATAACACAATATAATTTATTTATTTTTAATGCCAATTATTTAGTATCATTTTATTTGATTCAACTTTACAACTAGTCCTCTTTTCCCGGAAGGACAAACTTTTTTGGACAAACTTGTATTAGTTTATAAAACCATCGTTTAGCCAAAGATTGACACTACTTCCTCTCTGGTGGACCTATTTCAATCATTCCTTACATTTTTCATGTAGTGGTAGTATATTAGAAAACCAATTACACTAACAATTACAGGTAGGTATAAAAAAAAAAGTCTAAAACTGGTATGACATCTCGTGTTCGATTCAGTTGTAGAAAATAGACGAAAAAAAAACCACTTCTTAGAATTAATCCGCTTATATGTATCTATTCATTGGAAAAGAGGCGTGTAGTTCCACAAACGAAACTGGTTTACATCGACTGTGATAAAGTTTCAGATATTTCTGGAAACTATTTGTTAAAAGACAAACACGCATTATTATATTATATATCGCTTTCATGTTCTACAGATACTTTTTTTAAGCATTATTTCACCGTTTCAAATACATTTTTTATTATTATCATTGAATAAGACAAAAAATAACAAAGAAATATCAAAAATCATATTTCTCAGCGAGTCCTAGTAACGGCTGTATGCATTACTAAGTAAAAAAATTGTGTCATAGCAAAAACACAGTAATAAATTTCTCCTATCATGTCTTATTAATTTTGATGACAAATGACCTATGAAACAACATCAACGTTATTCAACGAGCCATCTTAACTTTGGCAAAACGATCATCAGCTGTGGAAGGCACTTGTCCGAGACAGAGCACAAAATCCTTTATCTTATCCTGACAGGCTGACACTTTATTTTAATAAAATAAAATGTCAACTTATAAACTTCACATTTCTTCGTATGATATTTATTTCTATATAAAAGTTATGTACAAAGTAATAAAGAGCAATACAATATTGAAGTTGATTTTAAATAAGTAAAAATGTTGATTCAATTAATCAACTGATCCATTCGTTGATTGTGTGTGAAAAATCCTATGTAAATTCAAGTGACTTTTACAGCTACTCGCAGATATATGTAATACTGTAAAAGTATACGTATTTAAACTTATTATTGGAGATATACAGCCTTCCCTATAAAATTAATTACTATTGTTAAATACTTGAATAACGACAAGTTCTGGTTAGAAATTAACTAGGTGTCCCTCTTCAACACACACACACACACACACACACACATATATATATATATATATATATATATAT